TGAGGATCTGATCTGATCCAATAGAAAATATTTGTGAAAGTTTTTCGTCATCCTAATGTTATCAAATCTTCTTATTTGCTGTCATAATTCATAGATTACATACTTTCAAATATACAGCTTGTTTTCTCGATAACATTTTTGATGACTACCTATGTAGTATGTTTTCTATAGCACCTCTTTTGCCTATAAAGTAACAATATGTATGTATGTATATACCATGTTACATCAACTGTATAAAAGTTACTATTTTTACCTACACACTAGTAACGAGGATGCCTTTCCGTTCAATGGACGATAGGAAAAAGATTAAAAAACATCAACACCATTTGCCATAACTGTTATATTGTCTTTAGGTAGGGCTTACTTCGCCTCTAAATCTGTCATATTCAAAATTGGGAAGGTGCCGATTGGAAGGGCTGTTACAACAAGCCTCGAAAAGGACACTAAAAAACCTAAGACCACAGTATCCACTACTGATAACGTTGAGGAGTCAAATCCTAAAATCGAGGAATTTACCATTAACTCGCCAGAAGAAAGTGTAGTTGCCCTTTCCAAAATTGGGAAGGCGCCGATTGAAAGGGCTGTCAAAACCGGCCCCGACAAGGACACTAAAACACCTAAGACAGTACCCAAAGCATCATTAGCAAGTACTAGCAATGTTGAGGAGTCAAATCCTAAAAGCGAGGAGGAAATCACTCACCCGCCAGAAGACAGAACAGCAATGCTCTCCAGAATTGCGAATGTGTCTATTAAAAATACTGCTATTCCTATGCCTGATAAGGACACCGCAGTGCCATCAACAGTACTCACTGCATTAATAGCCACTTCAGGCTATCCGGAGGAGTCAAATCCAAAGAGCGAGGAGGTGACCACCAACTCGCTGGAAGACAGTTTAATGGATGACCATGATTGAGGTTATCCAAATAAACCTCCATCGGAGCGAGACAGCTACCAACGCTCTGATGGCTAAAATCAACACAGGTAAAATACATATAGCTTTAATCCAGGAACCTTGGACGATTCGCAACAAGGTTTCTGGATTAAATCACGTAAATTTCCAACTTTTCTACGCTGATACAGGATCTCGCCCGAGAACATGTATCTTATGTCACAAGAACTTATGTTTTCTCCTCTCAACAGGATTATCAACATCGGATGCAACGGTGCTGAAGCAAGGTCGAGGCAACATATACCTTGCATCTATTTACCTGCCTTTCGATTCTCCGACCCTACCACCAACGTCGGATCTGATGAAACTGGTTGAAGAGGCACAAAGGAAAAATAAGAAAATTGTAATAGGTTGTGATGCCAACTCGCATCATGTAGCTTGGGGTAGTACAAACACCAATCGCAGGGGACAAGCCCTCATGGATTTCTTTAATACTAAAGACTTGATAACATTGAACTTAGGTAATAAAGCTACCTTCGTCAATAGAATCAGAGAAGAAGTATTAGATATAACTATATGTTCAGAAGAGCTTATAAACGAAATTCAGGATTGGAGAGTTTCGGACGAGCACTCCTTTTCTGATCATCGGTACATAAGATTCAAAATACTAAGGCCACCACCAAAGCCGATAAAGTTTCGGAATAAGTCTAAAACTAATTGGACAATGTTCGGGGCCTTACTAAAGAACCGTTTAGGTCAGGACACTTTTCAATGTCGAAATAAAGAGGATATAGATGCCAAAGTGGAAACGTTCACAAGTGCCCTGGTTGAATCGTTCGAGGACAGCTGCCCTCTGCGAGAGCGGAGATCTGCCCAGGAAAAACCCTGGGTAACTGGGGAGATCCGGAACCTTGGGAAGACTCTTAGCAAACTATTTAACCGGGCACGGCGTAAAAAGACCGCAGTATACTGGGATGAGTATCGTAATAAACTTGGTGAATATAAGAAAATCGTTCGAAGAGCCAAACGAGACTCCTGGAAACTTTTCTGTGAACAGGTAGATAGCGTAAATGAGGTATCGAAGATAAAAAATTCCTATCCAAAACTCATGTCCAACCGGAATCTATGATCGATGACACGGGCAGGAGGCTTGAGGATATGGAGGAGACAATGAAACTCCTAATGGATTCTCATTTCCCACCCGGTATATCGAATAACATAGATGAACCGATATTGGAGGAAGGGGAGGGTAACACGGAAATAGTTATTACAACTGACATGGTTAAAGGGGCAATCAAGAGCTTTGCTCCCTATAAAGCTGCAGGGCCGGATGGAATTTTCCCGGCACTTTTGCAGATGGAGGCGGGACTGGTTTCCGTACATCTGTCACAGATATTCACTGCATGCTTAAAATTGGCATATACCCCAGTTAAATGGCAGGATGCAAGGGTAATATTTATACCCAAACCAGGGAAACCTAGCTATGCGACACCTAAGTCCTATCGACCGATAAGTCTTACGTCCTTCCTACTTAAAACCTTGGAACGGATAGTCGATAGCATGGTTAAAAGCAGCATACCATACAATGACCTTAAATATAAGCAGCATGCTTATGTAAAGGGACGATCGGTGGAGACCGCTTTAAATGAAGTTGTCCACTACATAAGTGAATCTTTCGATAGCAAACTGTATACACTGGCAGTATGCATTGACATCGAAGGCGCTTTCAATAACGTGCACACTGATACCCTTATCCAATCCCTAGACCAGTTTTATGTTGACCGGGTGCTCCGTAACTGGATCAACTACATGCTAAGGAACAGATGGATAAGCTGCGAGATGTACGATATAACTATCAGGAAAAAGGTATTTCGCGGTATACCACAGGGTGGCATTTTGTCACCTTTACTCTGGGTCACCACGATTAATAGCCTCCTAAGGACCCTAACCGAGAAAGGACTTAGACCTGTCTGCTATGCAGACGATGTCGTAATACTTTTAAAGGGAAAGGATCCAAATTACTTGTGTAGAAGAGCTGAGGAGGCTCTGAATACGGCCTTGAGCTGGGCTCAACCGAGAGGCCTCAATGTTAACCCGGCGAAGACGGAAATCTGTCTTTTCACAAGAAAGACAAAAATTTCTACATATACTGAACCTTGCTTCTTGGGCAAGAAGATACCGGTGACAGACAAAGTTAAGTACTTAGGTGTAATACTTGACCGGAAATTAAAATGGAGACACCACATAGAGGATAGGATCAACAAGGCACATCGGTGCTAGGCGATATGTAGGAGAACCATAGGCATGAAATGGGGTCTTAGTCCTACTATGACAAATTGGCTTTATAAAAGTGTAATTAGACCAATTCTAGCTTATGCTTCAATAATCTGGTGGACTGCTTTGGACAAAAAGTGTAATATCAAACTACTACAGGGAGTTCAGCGTACATGCTGCTTGGGTATAAGTGGTGCCATGTGTACTACTTCAACCAAGGCTCTGGAAACGTTGCTAGATATTCCACCCATTGAAACATATATAAGATATGAGGCGGCGCTTACAGCCGAACGGCTCTTTACTTTAGGCGAACTGGCCAAAAACGGTTATAGGACACGTCATCAATGTATACTGGACACATTGGAAGGTTATACACATTCATCGGACGTGCCTGATCGCATACCAGACACTGAATATGTCGGAAACTTTGAAACGCTAATCCCAGATAGAATGTCTTGGTCAAGCGGAACATTAGAGCAAATACCAGTAGGAATCCGTTGCTACACGGATGGCTCTAAATTAGGGGACAAAGTGGGTCTGGGGTTCTATATTGAAGACCCAGAAACAGAAATATACCACCGTTTACCTAATCATAACACAAGCTTCCAGGCAGAAGTACGAGCAATAACGGAATGTGTAAATTGGATTAGAATAAATATGGCGCCCACAGGGCTTAATATATTTACCGACAGCCAGAAGGCAATTTGTGCGATATCAGGTGATAGAATTAAATCTAAGACCGTATTGGATTGTAAGAAAGCTTTAACTGAATACTCTCCCAGAGGTAAGGTTCACATCATATGGGTACCAGGCCACTCGGGAGTAGCCGGCAACGAAAGGGCGAATGTAATAGCTTTAAAGGGAAGGGAGCTCGATGTAGTTAACCTGACAAACGCAAAACCATTCGACGCAACAAAAGCTGAATTAAAAATATGGATGAGAGAATCCCATAAGGCCTCTTGGAATAATGAAACGGTGGGTAGAACCACAAAGATTCTATGGGGTGACCCTGATGAGAGCAAGACGAGAAATCTTCTCAAAATGAGCAAGTCTGAGGTTAGTATGATGGTACGTATTCTCAGTGGACACACAGGATTACGAGCACATCTATACAAAATTGGACGTGCGAATTCAGACGAATGTAGAGCATGTGGAGAGGACAGTGAAACTCTGGAGCACTTTCTTTGCCATTGTCAGGCATTCGTCGAAGTTAGATCCAAGTATCTTGGAAGTGATGTTATTCCAGAAATAACATTCTTAACCAACACCGATTGGAAGATTCTTAGGAATTACGTCCAGGAAACTGAGTTTCTGAACATGGAAAAATAATACATTCAGTGAACAATTTTTTTTTTTTTTTTTTTTTTTTTTTTTTTTCTTGAATTGGAGCGCACAACAGGCCCGATAGTGGCCTAGGTGTATTTCTTCGGATTTGATGTAGTATACATCCTCCTATCAACCTACCTACCTACCTACCTATATTGTCTTTTTTATGATGTTTTATGCAAGTTTTTCTTGTGTACAACTTTTATTGCCATCTGTCTAGTTTAATTCCATGGAAGCCCCTTTAAGCAGCAGTATACAGCGATAGTATCCACGTTGTCGTCATCATTAGTGGTAGTAGTTGTTGCACAATTTATTTTATTAATTAATGTTATGTTTATTAAATTTAAATTGGCTTGATTGACCTCCATTCATTTGTTTAGTTGTCATTTTAGTTTTTGTTCATTTGCAGTATGTTTTAAAGTACAGTGGGGGAGAATATTTGTATTTTTCGCTTAAATTTTCAATACTATAAGCATACATATATTAAAAGCGTTTCTTTCATTATTTTCAGTTATTTGTCTGGGCTGTGCCGATGCTGCCTGAAAAACTTAGAAGTCATAAAAGAAGGTAATAATAATACTATAATAATATTTAAATTTATATTTTTGTTTAAAAAACATACAATTTCTTCGCATTTGTTACATTAACATTTTTTATATTTTCCATTTCTATTTATTTTTTAATTGTTTCAAATATTGACAAAGCTTTTTAGTAAAAATCGTTTTGGCTTTTAAATTATTTAGATTTCTTTTATTTTTGACACTTCTAACTTCCGGTACTGCGCCATACAATGGTTTTAGAAGTATTCAGTTGCATTTGAAACATCTATTGGATCTATAAAATAAATATTATTGATATTCTAATCTACCATAACACAACAAAACTAAAACAAAGTTTAGACAAAATCAAAAGAGAGAAAACTATTTAGTCATTTGTAACTTGTTTGTTTGAAAAATAACTGTCATTCTGCATACAGGAAGTCAAAGTAGCAGGAATCTGCATACAATAAAAACATTTAGTAATGGTTATATGTATATTAGAGTGTCCAGAGGAACACTATTTTGGGAATTTGATGTACTTGACAAATTGTGCAGGGAATAGGATATTCAAGATCAGCTGGTAGTGCATTGTGGAAGTTTTTAAAGGGTTAAATTTTTTTTTTTTTTTTTAATTTTTCACGTATTCGGTACAGTAAAACACATTATCTAACGGGGGTGCCTACAAAAGCGTTGTCCCCGAGACAACCTAATGTATATGTATGTAATATGTAAACTGAAATTACTAAATGTTTTGCAATAAGTATATAATTGTGAACACTAGACTATAACAACCAATTAATGTTAAATCTGCGTCGGAATTGAGTTGGATTATATTAAACCGATCACAAAAATGTTGGCAATTGCATTAATAATACAAATATGGCTTATAAACATATACAATGTAAATATTCTGGATAAATGATAAAAACTATGTATATATACAAATTTTACTCCTTTCTTGAGGAAAGTATACTCATATAATAAGACATTTTCGCAAAATGTTTTTAAATTTCTCATTGTTTCTCCTGTTGCTTTCTGATGATTTCTATATCATAAACAAGTACTAGTTGAGATAGATATACAAAAATTTATTCTCTAAATAAAAGTCATAATAAAAAAAACTACCAAAAAAAAGTATACTTACAAATGTGTATACATACAGATGCAATTTTACAAAAAAATACATTTATAAAATCTAAAAAATACAAATACTGTAAAATTGAATAAAATCTACGGGTGGGCTATCTGTGGTTTAACATTTCGATTGTTATGTGTATAAATATACAACTATCCCTCGTTTTCTCACTACACCTGTTTTACACGATTTCGCTTTAGGATGATTTTTTTATTTATCGCGTTAAACGAGTGATAGAAATAAAATCGATACTTAAATACACTAAATTATGTCGATAATTTGGAAATGAAAGAATAATCTTCTTAACTTTGTGACAAATGAAGTAATCTCATATATACATGGGTCTTTTCGTGTCAAGTGACCCAACTTTAAAAACCGATGTCTTCCAATTTTTTAACTTAAGAATAATTTTTTTTTTTCAATATTTGCCAATTAATTTCCTCCTATACGTTTTTTTGGACGTTTTTGTTGTATTTTTTTTTACTCTGGAGAAAGCTTGGACAATTTTTTTTACAAACTTTATAGTTATATACTTTAACGTCTTTATGGGGAAAAAAAATATTTAAAAAAAGAAAATTTTTTTTAAATTAATTTTTTTTTTGAAAACATTGAAGAAATAGCTATCTAAACTCCTTTGGAATTTTTTTGCTAGGACCAATAGGTGAAAATTTACACGCATTTGAATAAAACCCTGTATGACCAAAATGTCCAAACTTTACCCCCTCTGACTCCGGCAGTTCTTGACCGATAGAGCTGAAAATGTGTGTCTGTCCCATAATGCTAACCTTTGTGCAAATTTCATCCAAATCGGAAGACATCGATTTTTAAAGTTGGGTCACTTGACACTAAGTTTCCAATACATATATATTTTATTTTCAAAAATTATAGTTTCATTAAATAAATTATGATTTATATGTTACACCTTTTTCAGTAACGTATCTATCGTGCAAAAGGACGGATAGGTGTATATGTATATCTACATTCATTGCAAATGGGTTTATTCATACATATATGAAAGTGTGAGTGCATGACTAGATGTAATACATACCCTGCAAATCGCAAAAGTAGTGGTGCAATGACGAATATCCCAGCAGTTCGGTCGGACAGTCCCGAACTATCTATTTAACCTACAACTTAAAATTACCCCTAGCCACTGACTATTTTAACATGTGTTTGTCCTACGAGGAAGTCAATCGTCACCCGATAGTGAGAAAAAAATCCTAAAAAAATCCTGTTAGCAGATTCTACAACCGAAATAAATTGAACAATACCCTGTAAGGTAACTACATATTATATTCTACAAGTTACCTTTTGGTACCGTAAATTTGACAAAAATTACTTATTAAACTGCAGGGTATTTATGCATTCATACACGAAAGAGTGGATTTGCTTGCTTGTATGTAAATTAGAGGTGCCCAAAATTATTATTGCTGCTTGAAAAGGTCTCAGTTTTTTTCATTAGTTAATAATACTAACAGGTGTACAATTTTAGACCAATCGAATAACGGCAACTCATGCATTAAATTGATTGAAAATGTCAAAATTGGTAACATAATAACACTTTTTTGATTTCTACAAAAGGTCAAACAACAAGTAATTTTTAGACACTAATAAATAAAGACTCATACATACTAAATCTTAATATTTTGGGCGCCTCTAATGTGCATACATATGTATGTATGTATGAATTATAAAAGGAATTTTCTAAACATACATACATAGATATACTAGTATGTTGCGGCATTATTGCATTGTTATAAAACCCTTAAGGCGTTTGTTATGATGGCATATTTAGTGTATTCAGTGTTGTTTTCTATTGTATTTCATTATATTAAATATGTATGTATGTGCGTTTGTAATTTTTTCACTGTTTGGCTTGTTCTGTTTTCATTGTTTTTAGATTGCATTGTTGTGGCATCTTTTTATATGTTTATATACCAAGCTGTGACATTTTCTATAACTGTCTGTGGGTTTAGGTTCTATGTATTCTCGATGTTATTTTTTTCTTTATATACATACATATGTTTGATTGCATTGTATTTGAATGTGGAAGAAAGTAAGATTTTTTGCACAAAATGCATTTATTTATGTAAAGCACATACACTTCACACAAACACATACTTCAAATGTGCGGCCATTCACTTGTAATGAGAGAGAGTAGCAGGTGCGTTAGCATGTTATCTAGCTACTGTGTGTATATGTAAATAGGGCCTTTAATTTAGTTCAAATTATAAAACAAAAGGCCCTCTCTGCTATTCAAATTCAAAAGTACCCCTAAGTTAACCAGTAGTAACAGCCTCTTGAAAACATTTTACTTGAATGGTTATGCTATTATAAAGTTACTGCAACTGTTACTTTTATATTCTCATTTTCGTATTTATCCACTCAGGTGTTTATATGCATATGGATGTAGATGTGTTTGTGTAACAATATGTCTGCCTATAAGTCTGCTTATGCAGCATCATACAATGTGTAACACCATATATTCTCCCCTATATACATACATATGTATAATATGTACATATACGTAAATACATATGAACGAACAATGGCATCATAATTATAATTGCACTTTAATGGTTTACGTGGTGGTTAACGTTCGTTACATTAACCGTTTTTTAAACTGCTTCTTTTTGTTTTACAAAACAAAAAATCCATAAAAATTTATGTTTTTCACATTTTGAATTTTTCTATAGACGACTTCAGTCGTATACGATTTTAAATTTACAATCGACAACAAAATGTTTTAATTTAATCCTACTCTAGTTCATTGCAATTTCTGTTTTATATCTGTACTAATTTTTTCTAGTTCTGTGGTAGTTCTGATCTAATTCTATTTTAGTTCTATTCTACTTCTGTACTAGTTCTGTTCCGAAGATTATGAAACCTGATTTTTTGTCACCGTCTGTTTCACTATCTCTATTTTATATGCCAGAGTTGGGGGTAGTGCACTAAATTTGCAGTTTCCACTAAATGTTAGTGATAGTGCAAAATTTTTCACTATCACTAATAGATATTTAGTGGTGAGTTGAAAAATTACAGCCTCACTAAGCAATAGTGGTAGTGGTACAAGAAAGTTTTTCACTAAAATTAATTTAGTGATAGTGAAAACCCTTTTTTTACAGCTTAGTGCAAATTTTTTTTCTCCACTAACAGGATAGTGGAAAAATATAATCATTCACTAAATTTATGTAAAAATATATTTTGAAAAACAACATAAAAATTGTACGCAAAGTGACAAGAAATTAAAAGGTTTGTCATTCAAATTGCATCCGGTATCAAGGGGCCACATTTTATTTCGTATTTTGGTATTATTTTCGTTGTTTTTTAAGGACTTTATCTATCGTATATTTTTGACATTTTCTTTCATTTATTACGAACGAATTCATTTTCTAAAAACCATAAATATGTATGTATGTATGTATGTATGTATGTATGTATGTATGTATGTATGTATGTATGTATGTATGTATGTATGTATGTATGTATGTATGTATGTATGTATGTATGTATGTATGTATGTATGTATGTATGTATGTATGTATGTATGTATGTATGTATGTATGTATCTATCGTATATTTTTGACATTTTCTTTCATTTATTACGAACGAATTCATTTTCTAAAAACCATAAATATGTATGTATGTATGTATGTATGTATGTATGTATGTATGTATGTATGTATGTATGTATGTATGTATGTATGTATGTATGTATGTATGTATATGATTTTTCTTTAATACAATAAAAAATAATAAAATAGAAATATTTTGAACATACATATGTACATATGTATTTTCAATTTGTTTGGATTATTTTTACAAACACTATTTTTTGAGATTTTAGTGCATATTAAAGCATTCATGTAGTGACTGTTAAACATTTGCACTAT